TGCAGCGCTCCGCCGTGAAACAGGGCCCAGGCCAAAAAGACACAAAAGTAATATAAAACGTACCTTAGATGGATGAAGTTAGTGAATTGTAAACCAACAGTATCCTCTAATCTCGATTTATTCGATTTTGTGGGTAGAGGAAATCGGAAATAACCAAAAGTACACCACGGGCACCTTTCCACGAACATCTAAGGTTGTATTTTATTACTGAACACGAAACGATTTCTGAGTTGTCCATTCTTGTAAATGTGACATATATAGTAAAAATTGCCATCATTTTGCTGCTGAATTTTAATGTAATACATCAACCTATTTTGAAAATAAGCCGAAGTCAATTTTCCTTATATTCATTTAGGATTTATTGCCATATTTTTTTTAAATACCAATTTTTATAAATATGACGTCATATCCGAAGGTTGGGACTTTTCAATTAGACAATCACTATTCTTTAGAATTGTGATTTTCTATTGAAAATCCCAACCTGAGCTACCTCTCTAGGGGGGTGTTTAGCGTTTCTGCCGCGATTTTGGACATTTTGATTCCGAGAAAAACGGCACGGTCAACTTTCTTGCCATTTTCAGCGTTTGGTCCCGTGTGGGGGAGCTACCTTCTGGCAAAGTTGGATGAAATATAATGGGCCCGTTTTGGGGTAATCGGCACGTGCATTTTCCCATAGGGTTAACATGGGGAAAAATTGGAAAATCGATTTGCAAAAAATTTCGTCAATTATATTTGCTGATATTTTTAGGATCGGATCTCGGGCTGGCACCTCAACTTTTGGTGTTAATTATTTAAAAATCATAGGATACAATTTCGGGTAATCGTGACGGACAGTTACCCCATGTTGAGCCTATGGCGAATTCGAAAAATAATTTTCAAATCGATTTTGCAAAAAATTTCCACGTTAGATTTTGAAAATGTTCCAATATGTTGTGCCCCGGGGTGTCGGCTACCACATGGTATGGGTCAGATATGGGGCGATTGAAAAGCACGTGCCACGTGCAAACGTGTTTGATGGGGGAACCTCGTGGTAAATGCGACATCGGCCAACTGGGGGTCCTATGGCGTGGAAACGACTCCACCCAGCGACACCAAATCAGTGCAGCCGGTGAGCAGATGAGTCCAGCTTGTCGCACCAGTGGTCACGTGGCGCACGTGCTATTGCACGTGCCGTGGCACGGGGTCAATTTTGGTGCTTAAATATACTAGCATTGTGAAATGCAAGGAATGGGGGAAATAGCCGTCAGGCCGTCAGATTTTATGATAGGGTCGATCTGAAAACGGGTGTAGGCACAGAATGAAGGGGGCTAAAAAACTGCTATCTCAGATTTTTTGTAAAATGAAAAATTCAAAATTCTGGGGAAATTATATATTCGAAAGGTGAAATTTCCCTAAATTTTCACGTTTTTCGACTTTAGCCGTCCACTGTTCAGGGACGGTGACACCGGCCGGGGTCATCTTTTACATGCTGATGGCCACGTCGATGGGTCATCACGTGGCGTGAACGGTGAAGCTATCAAAGGTCCGGCACGTGCCACGTGGCCACGTGTTTGAGTCAAGTACCTCCCAGATTATCGTGTGTTTGCCGATTTGTGGCCGTATAGCACGAAAACAGCACCAGTCAGGAAGCCTGAAATGAAACAATCGGTAAGGGGACAAGCCCTGCTTGCACCACCGGTGGTCACGTGGCACACGTGCAATTCTGGGCACCTCCGTTGCGGATATATTTTATAGTGAAATATTCAAATGTACATAACTTTGTAAGTTTAAGTCCGATTGGGCTAGAATTTGGTGGGTGGATGAATTGTTAAGCGACATGAACGAATGCGCCATGTTTGTTGCAGTGCGCCACGTTTGTCTCAAAGCGCCATTTTTGCCGCAAAGCGCAGAATGTGCGTAACTTTGTCGAACATTGGACGATTAGGATGCGCTGTAATTAAGGAATGGCTGCTTAAACGGCAGATATGAATGCACCACATTTGCCGCAGGGCGCCATATTTGTCTTAATGCGTCAGTGTTTGCGTTTTGCCTACGGTGGGCGTTTTTTGCGGCGGTGTTTGCGTTTCTTCGGTGTTTGCGTTTTACGGCGGGCGGCCGTTTTTGCGTTTTTGGCGGTGTTTGCGTTTAGCGGCGAGCGGCCGTTTTTTGCGGCGTTTTGCGGTTGGCGGCGGGCGTGCGGGCGTTGCGGGCGTTTTTTTGCGGCGGTAATTGCGTTTTTTTGCGGTTTTTGTGTTTGGCGGCGGGCGGGCGGGCGATGCGGGTGTTTTTGTGGTATTTGCGTTTGGCGGCGGACGGCCGTTTTAGCGGCGGTTTGCGGTGGGCGGCCGTTTTTTTGCGGCGTTTTGCGGTTTGCGGCGGGCGGCCGTTTTTGCGGCGTTTTGCGGTTTGCGGCGGGCGGCCGTTTTTTGCGGCGTTTTTTGTGGTTTGCGGCGGGCGGCCGTTTTTTGCGGGGTTTTGCGGTTGCCGGCGGCCGGGCGTTATTTGCGTTGTTGCGGTTTGCGGCGGGCGGCCGTTTTTTTGCGGCGTTTCGCCGTTGGCGGCGGGCGATGCGGGCGTTTTTTTGTGGCGGCGGTGTTTGCGTTGTTTGCGGTGTTTGCGTTTTGCGGCGGACGGGCGTTTTTGCGGCGTTTTTTGCGGTTTTTTTTCGGCGGGCGGGCGATTGTTTTTTTTTTGCGAAGTTTGCGTTTGCGTTTTGGGCGTGCGTTTTGCGGTGTTTGCGTTTGGCGGCGGGCGGGCGGTTTTTCACAATTAAAGTCCCAACCTTCGGATCCGCAGTGCTGTTCGACAAGCGCTGCCCGGGCCTATATTGCGGTGTTTACACTTACAATGGCATTTCGCCCATTTGCTCTCTTGCATTTGCTGAGGGGAGCTTGCAGGTTGGGGGCAATGCGGGCAATGTTGGGAGTAATATGTGAATTTTTATCATTTTTACACTCCCTTTTCTTTCATGTTTGCACTCTTGGCCTCTGTAAGGTGTTAGTTTTAGGGACATCTTCAACTTTTTATTGATAGTTCAATGCATTTTTTGAGGGATTTTGATATTTAGTTGATGAATGATTTTATGAAAATATTAGGTAGGTACCCACCTGCCACAAGTAATATTGCATACAATGACAAATCATTCTGATTTTCCACAGCATGGGGTCTATGAACTTTCAGAGCAAGTTTCAGGTTGCACCACCAGACAAGGGCAGTTTTCCACTGGATCATGAAGGCGAGTGCAAGAAGTTTATGCTGAAATACATGATCTGCTTGGGCAAAAACAACAATGACAACTCGAGGTGCAGACCAGAGGCCAAAGATTACCTCGGGTGCCGAATGGACCATGAGCTGATGGCGCGGGAGAGCTGGAAGAAACTGGGCTTTGATGATTTGGACAGTCCTGTAAGTGACCATAAAAAGGAATAGCTGGTTCTTCTCAATTGGATTCACAAAATCCAGGGACTGGCAGACTTATCAGCTTTATTGTGTCATTCTTGATCACCATTTGACCCAATTAGTTACCCCAGGCCATGGCAGACTGTGATCCAGAACAGTCAGGTGACTGGCACATCCTGCTCTGCTGCACGGGCAGTGTGGCCTCCCTGAAGGTTCCCGAGCTGGCTGCCCTGCTGCAGAGAGCTCCTGCCGCCGGCCGCCGTGCGGTCACCGTTCGCGTGGTGAGCACGGACGCGGCTCGTCACTTTTTCTCGCCGTCGGACCTGCCGCCGGGCGTGCAGCACTACACGGACGCAGACGAGTGGACGGCGTGGCGCGGCCGCGGCGACCCGGTGCTGCACATCGCGCTGCGCGAGTGGGCGCACCTGCTGCTGGTGGCGCCGCTGGACGCCAACTCGCTGGCCAAGCTGGCCACCGGTCTCTCCGACACGCTGGTGACGTGCGTGGCGCGCGCGTGGCCGCTGGGCCGCCGGCCAGTGCTGCTCTGTCCGGCCATGAACACGGAGATGTGGCGCCACCCGGTGACGGCGCCGCAGCTGGAGACGCTCCGCTCCTGGGGCTGCACCGTGCAGCCGCCCGTGCAGAAGACGCTGGTCTGTGGGGAGACGGGGGTGGGCGCTATGGCTCATCTGGAGGATATCCGAGACACGGCGTACCGCCTGCTGGAGCAGTGGGAGAAGGGCGCCGCGGGGGAGACGTGACTGGGGCTCTTTGATGTCTTGGAGTGCGTCGGAGTCATTCAGTGATAGCCAGTAGTGGAGTGTGAGGTGATTGGGTGTGGTGGCGCTATATGATTGTATATTGTGCTGTGTTAGTAGGATGATGTAATTGTGCATACGCCATGCGAGTGACGGCGATTGTCCTTTTTGGAAAGCTCGTGTCAGCTGTTAACGGCGAGTGTGACTCCCAAGTCAGGAACTTTTTCAGACATATAACGAAAGATATACATGAGTATCGAAATGCGTTACTCTAAGGAACAGTCAATCAATGAATCAACGCGTTGTCCTGTCGTGCTGCTGCAGCATCGATCGATGATCGAATCATTGCGTCGTTGCGTTGTTTCGACCGTATACGAGCACGGTTAGGAACTGGAAGACTGCACTTCCACCGACGAGATTCATTAGGGCGATGCTTGTCGTGTGAATGATTGACCTAACCATGTTGCTATCTTTTGAGTGGTTTGGCGCATGAATGAAGTGAACTTGTCAACAAATATTTGCTATTTCTTGATTGTTACAGGGACGGTAGTTGCATTTCAGTTCGTTGACGCTACACTACACTTTTTACGTCACTGGCGGATGATCACCCACTGCAGGGTTCGCGCTCGGGTAAGCAGCAGAGCGATAAAAGCCTTTCCTTAGAGCCAGTACCTTCCCGAGATATGCATCACTGCTCGAAATATGCTGTGACTCCTACTCCCATTCTATCGGAAATGCTTAGATGGCGCAAAGGAGCGATGTCGAGTCGCAGATAAAAAGAAGCCAGCCAGCACAGTCATGTCAACAGTCAAGACCCGGGAGCTGACTGATCACAGCAGCCGCAAGTAGATAAAACGAACTGCATATAGTAGAATATGTATTCAATCTTTGTCTTTGGACTGCGGCGAATTCAACGCCCGTGCACACACACAACTATGAAGAATCTACATACAAGGCGACACACTTTCACAGAGAGAAAACAGCGTAGGCTGCGCTATAATCCGAATAAAAAGCATCACATTAGATTCTTAGAAACTTGCAACAAAGTGTTTCACCACTGGCATCAATCGCTAGTGGCACCGCTTCTCCATTAATCTTGGAATACGATATCATCTAACACGCACCAAAAAGGCTCTTGCACTTGCTAAGCAACACTCACGAAAGTTACTGAACATGTCAGAAATCAGCCCGCACCTGTCCCCGCCTCCTCCCCCGCGGGGAGCGAAATCTACATAGGCGCCACGATTCCGGGAAGACGCGTACCTCTCGCACTACGCATTGAGCCGGGGATCTTTGATAACCACACACCACAGTAGCCGCTATTATTAGACACTTCATCAGGACGGCGTGCCGTCACACGGTGTGGTTAAAATGGGACCGCACGTCACGCTGGGAGCACCCGAAAATGCAGTGATATCATACAAGTGAAGACCACGCATTGCAACATACGACTCAGTCTCGATTCACGCATACTGGAAACAAGCAGACACTGGCTGCAGTGCTACTAAAACATCGCACATGTCAAAAATAGACGAAAGGTCGGTCGCTAATAGAAAAATATATCTAATCACCGACCTCATTTAGACGTCAAGAACTACCGAAAGCATTCCCACCCCTTACCCGATCGCACAGACAGCTGCCGCCAAGCTGAACTGACACCATAGAAGGACACCATTACACTAGCATGGGTGAACCCCCTCTTCACTCGCTCAGCCGAGCTGGCCGTTTGTACACACCCGTCAGCTCGACCTTTACGAGCTTCCACGAACCGCACCCCAGCGCTGAGTCCCGGTGGACTCCACAGGCCACGCATCCCTGTCCTCTCGGGTCCATTCGTTGCGAGAGTCCTTAGCAAAAAATTGGGGGCGACAATCGAGCACTATTTGATATCTACAGTCACCAAGCGCGTCATCCTGGGGGAACCCAGTCACCCACCATTCTGCAATTTCTTCTTGATATTGCTGCGAGTCCTCCCAGCGGCAGAAAACAAGGTTCCAATGTGAAATCCCCGCTGTAGAGCGCTGTGATACGAGGATCACCGATTGCTGTCAATGCGGCCTCACTCCCAACGTTTCCGGTACTGAATACCCTCGGCACCCTTAACCATCACAATGAACACCTCACGGTGCAACTGCCGCCCAGACTTGGACGACCAGTCATTGCGCTATGATGACATCACTGTTCTCATCGTTGACATCACCGATCTATGATACTATCACCGATCTTACGACGACCCTACTGTTCCATGATGACGTCGCTGTTTTGCGGCGGCAGTGACGACTGGACCACCCAGCCGACGAGGTTCTGCAGCTGGCTGACCAGCTGCTCGTTCTCTTGGAGCGCCTGCCAGATGTCCGCCTGGGCGTCCTCCAGCTCACCGAGCCTGACAGGACGCAACGGGGCGTCACAAACGCGCTTCGCATGAGCAGCACCTACACAATATGCACTCTCGACAAATAAGGGAGCGACAAAGATAGACTGGTGATGAGGCCCAGCCAGTCGAATGATACCAAGACTTGCGTTAACGTTGAAGTCAGCTACAATGGAATGACGTTGTATGTAATGTGCATTGCGAGAATCGCTCAAAGACATGTCTCTCAAGTTACACAAACAGCACCACCCCCTAAAGGGCTCCCGAGCACCCTTCCCCTACCGCTCACTCTCCACTCCTCCTACTTCCCTCTTCCCCCTCGCCCTCCCGTTCACTCACCCTGACGCCAGTCGGCGGCCGTCCTCTCGGAGCACCTTGGGACTGCGGGTGACGGCGGCGGCCGGCCGCGGTGGGGTGGAGCCCGACCCCCCGCCGAGCACTGGTCGCACGCAGGCCGTGTAGCGGTCCTGCAGGTCGGCCAGCCGGTCCCCCAGCTCGTCCACTAACGACTCGAGCTGCACCAGGTCGGTGGCGGCGATCTCCTTCTTGATGTACTTGGTCTGCGCCGTCCTGGGAGAGGAGTGGGGAGGGGGACGTGATAGGGAGGGGTCACTGGTAATGGCGCGGACACTGATGCGCCGTTTGGATGACGCTTATCAGGTCGAAAAAAATGCATCCGCATGGAACTGGCCATGACTGGTCGACCTCCACATACTCATCGGGAGAGGATTTTACGGTGCTTCGAAGCCTGAGCTAAGCTATTATGATAAATCCGAGACATATTCGATCGAAATGTATCTATCGCTTGAGGGTGTGACCTGCTAAAAGGCACACCTCAGAATACTCTAGTCATTAAAAGCAACGACTCGAATAACTCCCTGTCATATTTTCATCTGCGGCCGACACACATCCCCTAAATAATCACTCACTCTAGAGCCGGCGCTCTAGTCCCTTCGTCTCCCAGCCTCATCCCCTTCACCTCGCTCCTCTCTCTATCCCCACGCACCGTCCCCTCACCACTCACTTGTACCAGTCGGAGAGCAGCTCGGCCATCGAGTTTCGGGTGGGCGCCACCTCTCCGTCGAGCAGCTGCTGCAGCGACTTACTGGTGCCCGTCAGCTTTATCTTCTCCAGATGGTGAAACTGCTCGTCGTTGTAGGTGAGTGCTGAGGGCGGAACAGGCGGAACGGTGTGAGGAAACTTAGGATGAAAGGGAGAATGAAGGGTTACTAATCCTGACTAATCATAAGCGATAACGACGTCCGAGAAGAAAACGTTAAGCGTTGTAATCAAAGCACTGATATGATCCATGCCATCGCGGTGCAAATTTATGCGATATCCTGACCTGGCCAACATGTTTCCAAATGAGCAGCCGAAAAGGGACGATTGCCCGTCAATTTCATGTATGTTGAAATAAAATTGAAGTTATAGTTACATGGGCGCAGAATGACCTTGTAGTCCAGACGCCCTAAGGCCCCAATAAACGGACAAGAAATTAGAGTAACGACATATAATACCTGCCACCGAGCCTTGGCGTTGGCATCTCTAACCACCCTCAAAACCCCCAACCCCTTCCGCCACTCACTGCGAGCCGTCCTGTCCCTCAGCAGATGCTGCCAGCTGTCCCTCAGTTTGGCGGTGAAGGTGGCGGCGCGGGCCGGCGCCGTCGCCAGCGGGGGCAGGTGGGCCACCCGGCCGCGCCAGTCCACCAGCAGACACGTCTCGCCGACAATGCGTCGGTGCAGCTCGGGGATGTTGGTCTCTGACAGTCCTCGCTCCCGCTCCGCCACCTGACGGACGGGACGGAGGCGCGTTAGGGTTGACCGGTGGTAACTGGTGGGCATAGAATATGTTGTGAAGTAGAGCCAACTGCCGTGATTTGATGGAATATCAGGAGAGTATTCGTGTCCCTAGAAAGGTGGAAACGGAGTTATGCTCACGCAAAATACCTAAGAAAGGTGCTTTATGTGCTCGTTTAATGATGAGCCAAAGAGCATGACCACACTCAATCCATACATTACAGTCGTACACTTTAGCAAATTAAGCTTGTAAATGAGATACTTTCCTTCCGTTGCATTGCATAACATTCCACGAATCAACACTACCATGAAACAACTCAAATATACACTAGTTGGATGGATTGCACCAACAGTGCCAAACGGCCCATTCGAATTCATGTGCCGTGTATCCGTTCCGTCAGCCGGTAATGGACGGTGCCGCTCTGCGCCGCGTCACTGACCGTCTCCAGGGTCTGCTCCAGCCGCTGCAGCGGCTCGGACAGCTGCGACAGCGCGTCAGCCGCCGGCCGGTGGCCGTCCTGGTGGCGGCCCAGCAGAGCGGCGCTCGTCTGCTGGGAGGTGGCCAGAAGGGACCACTGGCGGCGCAGCGTGTCACTCAGGTGCTGACACGACTCCAGGCTCTCCTTGAGGCGAGTCAGCTCCGTCTTCAGAACCGAACTGAGGACGGAAACGGAGCGGGGGAGGCGAATAAAGCTGGTAGGGTTCTGCGAAGCCTAAATGAGCATGCCCATATCAGCAATTAACACTGAAAATAAATGTGTAAACAAAACGTCGATGTACAGCTAGCCACCATAAACAAATATCGCACATGAAGCCAATGAAGCAAAATGAATGCGGTGAGGTGGTTAGCTACTCACGTGAACATGCTGACGGCGTACTCCATCAGGGAGCAGGACAGACTGTAGTTGGTGACGCGCCGCTTGAACTCGTAGCCGACGTTGCAGGCCATCTTGGCCAGGATGGCGTCATTCTCCACACTCAGCGTGGAGGGGATCGTCGGAAACTTGGCTGTGGAGCACGGACGAGCGATATAAAAAACAATATTAATATCAATCTCGTCTAAACGAGGGTGAGCAAGGATCAGCTACGCCGTGCTCAAGTGCACGAAATGATAAGGGTGAGATGGCATGACACAAAGAAACACAAATCGCACAGTGATGCTTACAAACTTCGATGAAGAAGCAACGATCTGAAATCAATGATTAATTCACTTGTGCCAAATACAATGTCATCTTTTCGGTCTATTTTATTTTCGCCCCACCAAACCGCATGCCGGGCTACCATCATGATGACCACTCTCCCACAACAGAAGCCGTCGCCGCGGCACCCGTACTCACGCAGCGGGACCGGACGGCACGGCGTCACGTCATTATTATGCTTGTCGAACAGCACGAGCGGCTGGTCGGCGGCGATATCCGGGTAGCGGGAGACGGTCGTGTCGGCGGCCACCACCTCCAACAGCGGCTGGCCGGAGAGCAGCAGCAGCTGACCCGTCGGACTGATACCCGTCTGAGTGGTGATGGCTGACTGTAGCGACTCGTAGCTGCGGTACACGGAGGGACGGGACGCGGTAGGAGGTCAGTACAGAAAGTCAGTGGCTCAGCTGGGGATAACAGTCGTGGGCGATACTGTGACCAGTCGAAACAACAGGCAGGAGGCCGTTAAGTGCAAACTGCAGTCAGTTAAACGACGGATGAGAAAGGGTGGTTTTAAGTCACAAATGCAACTGATAATAATTTACCTTCTAAATTTCCAAGGAAGTTCTAAGCACACTGCATTAAAAACAACAACCACCCCACCTCAGTAAACTGTCATTACTGGGCTCCAGCAAAGGGAGACAGCTGCAGCGGCAGTTGCCGGCGCCCCGATCCGGTCTCCCACCTGTCGTCCCTGAGCAGGTAGAGTCGCAGGTGCTGCAGCTGGTTCACGTGGAACACGGGCACGCAGCGGCGCGACGTCATGGCCGTCACCTCGTCGAAGAACCTGTCGAACGTCCACATGACCTGCTGGTCCACCTCCAGCAGGCCGGCCAGCAGCGGCGTCACCAGGCTCTTGGCGCCGCTGCAGGGGATGGAGAAGAGGTTATGGACGGATACAGCACGGGTGTCAGAAGTCACGAGGGGGTATTTATAAGCAAGCCCTGTTACCCCAGGTCACCCCACATAGGTAGCGCTGAATGATTGCGAAAAGGTGATTATATGACATCGTACGAAGCTGCAGCACAAATTCGTACAATTTAAAGAAAACATCGGGGTCCATCACTGCATAAATTATACACGTAAAATCGTGAGGTGTTCAAAATAAGAAGCAGCGATAAGTACTCAGCATGACCTGAAGCTTGCCATAAAAATCGGAACAAACAATAGTGCAAAGTTCAGATAAGGTGCATGCACATCCTGACGTTCGATCAGATTAGGCTGTGCTGCTCGCGTTAGGCACAGTGAGCGCGAATCGATCGCTGAGCCGTCTTGCAAAGCCACCCGTTAACCTGCTTACCTGTTACCCCCTCAACATCAATAGAACTAAAACGGGAGGATGACTTTTGGGATGCGATAATGCATTGAGTCCCCGAGTAGGTACTCTCATTATCTGTTTGTGCGCCCGAACACTGAGAGAGCATTGACATTATCAGCAAGCATTGCGTCTTTGTGAAGGTCGGACTGAACGAAAGGTGTCAGGGGAAATGCACGTGGGCGAGCTCAGAGTTCAGACACAAGTCACCGTTGAAGGTTATCGGGGTAATAAAGTATGGACGGGCGTAGATGGCCAGCCAGTGTGACAGAAGTTCAATGTCAGATGTGACAGGACGATGCTGAGCCTGGCAAACAAAAACAAAACATAGGCGACAATTGGACACCCCAATAACGGCCCGGCACAGAGAACAGCTGTTATGTAGATTACGACCTTTAAATGTCATCAGCAATATCCGAGCGTTTCCTGTGCAGAAATGGACCTGCACAGTCCGCTGATGGTAAATACAATAAACGTTCATTCATGTTCATGACAGTCCCATGAACAAGACAAAAGTTTTCTGCATTTGCTAAGTAGATTCTACAATGCGGTCCCGCTGCCGCAATAGCCAATTTGTAGAGCGCTGACAGCGATTATAATTTGCACAAGTCATAAATGTCCCCGCTGTTGATTGCCGAGACGCCCCGGCCGCTTGGCGAGGGACGTGGGCGGTCCCGACTTCAGAGCGCCACCACAGGCACTACCAGTGAGTTGGAACTCGGCTAGAGCTAGTGTAACTCGGTTAGAGCTGGAGCTCACGATGAGAGCCAGAACTCACAGTGAAAGCTGGCAGGTGTCGGGCAGCTTCTCACCCCACTCAATTTCGCCACCCTCCGCCGACTGAATACCGGAGATTATCCCTGGAACGACGACGGAACATGCGGTAATACCACGACGGTCAATAATGGATTTCGGCCTCGCTCCTTTCAGCAAAATTGCGCAGCGTGTCGAACACAGGCTGGACGCATTACGAAGACATGAAACACATGTTATCCTTTTTATAACAGGTCGGTTCGATGTCTACCAGTAGGTATGTCACGTCTCACTGTTTATTAATTCCATTTGCTACCTCTGTAGTGCACAGTAGGCTGCAACACGTGACTACAATTGTAGTCAACACTGACCCTAGACACGCTGAATAAAAATAAAGCCGGGACATTTTTCATCGTCAATAAAATTATACGTCGTCACCCATACCTGGCTTTTTCTTGGTGGTGATGACGTGCATGGTCTCCTTGTTTTTGCGTCCTCCGAACGGCCGGAACGGCAGCTGCCCGGTGGCCACGTGGTAGAGCGTCACCCCGATCGACCACAGGTCCACGGTGGCGCGGAACGTCTTGCCGGCCGACTTGCGCAGCACGGCGCGCTCGTACATGTCCGGGTGCTGCACGGGTCAGAGGTCAGCACGGGTCACAACTCACAGCGACACCAGGGCAGCAGGGGTCACAGCGATGGCAGAGGTCAGCAGATAATATTGCAGGGCGGGGTCGGCGACTACATGATCGGATCTTTCCCGCAGAACGCAAAATGGGGGAAACGACGACCAAAGAGACGAGTCAGAGACTGTATGCTGTTAGTTACCGATGTACTTGAGTGCCAAGGTTTTTATTTTGCAAGAGCGCCAAATCATTACTAGGCTGCCATCATACAGCCAGATCATTTCCCGCTCCCGTCGCACTGCCATCCACTGACCAGCTACTCCTTAGTGCTCCCGCTCCCCAGCATGCCACCGCCCACTGACCAGGTACTCCTCGGTGCCGTACAGCGACATGAACTGCTGGTCGTCGTCCAGCTCCCGCGCCGCCCCGAAGTCGGTCAGCTTGTAGATGGTCGAGCCGTCGATGTCGATGTACTTCATGATGTTCCCTGGCTTCAGGTCACGGTGCACCAGGTTCAGGTCCCGCAAGTGTTTCATGCCGTCAGCTGACGGCAGTGTCAGACACATAACGTCATAAAAGGGCCGATGGAGTAACACGGACGCGAACATCAGTTATCGTCGGGAAATGATGGAAACAACCGGCGGGAATGACGGAAACAGCGCATGATAAACAATAAACATTCAGTGGCAACAAAAGCATGCAGTTCATAGGCATCAGGTAATGACCATTCAGAAAAATGGCAATAGATGCAATTTTTTATAAATTTAGTCCGAACCTTATGGAAGGATTCACAAGGACAGAGCCACCGCTAAGCGAAGCTTGTTGCGGTGACCCTGCCCTCTACCCTCCGTTCGCGCAATCCCAGTTCTATGGCAGAATTTAGAGTCCAAAGTTTAACGTGCGCACATAGCCGCGCACGGCCGGTCCCCTCACTGTCTTCGCCTGGCTACGGCCTGCCACAAACCGCAACCATGCCTGTCAGGAGGCCCATAAACGTCAAGCGCCCGTCGCGCTTCGAACCCGGACTGTTGTAACCGGGAATGCGTGCTCTCACCACGCGGAGTCCAACGCTCTACCAACTGAGCTACGGGACCGGCTGCTTTAAAAAAGAAATAAATAAAACATGGACGCCATCCCCACAATCACTTACACAGATGACGAAGCACCAGGAAGAATTCCTTTTCATCAAGCCCGTAAGCATTCTCGGGGTCATCTAACATGTTGAAAAGACTGCCTCCTGTACACAGCTCCATGACAATCACCTTTCCACGGCCCTCTTGCTGAAAACGACGGAAGTAAGTGGTCAGAAATACAATTAGGCTACTGTGACAGATAGTTCAAAACACCAACAAAATATGGGTTAGGATCAGCTTTCTTCTGATGGATGTGAGTATGTGGAAAACTTGGAAGCAATACCTGTAAGTTGCAAAAAAGGCATGTGAAATTACTTGTAAGATTTGAGAATGCAACTCTTCCTGATAGTTATGTCCTTCAATGGTAACTGGCATCACAAACACCCAGACTGCAAAACGTGGCAGGTTTCGACGAGATCTCGAGCGTGCACGGGGCCTCCGCTAGCCTTACTCAGGCGTGCATTACAAATCTCAGGCGTGCAAGGCATGGCCCAGGCGCGCAGGCGTGCAATAACGAATCAGGGCGTACATGCCTGGAGAGCTCTCACTCGAAGCTTGCTAATGAAACAAACGCAAAATGCGCCGACGGACGTCTATTCATATTTGTGAGTGCTCAGCGCTGTTCATTGGGATTAAATGTGCGAGTGTGACAGATCACTACACTAGGTTGGGCGTGGGTCAGTTCAGATCAACCAACATTTGTTCCACCAGTTGTTCTTGGCCAGTATTTACCACCGATGATGTGTCCGTCACATGTTATGTAGCTTCTAAAAGTACTTCCCAATTCCTCAAATAATTGCTAAATTTTTTAGCGGCTCCAAAAGCTACTCAAATAAGCATTAAAAATAAAAAAGTAAGCTGAGGTCACTAAGTCCCAGCCGACTCCGAGTCAGTCAGACACATCGGAACGGCCCACCCCGATATGAGTATGATGGTTAGGTAATCTAGGAAAGACATCGCTGACTGAATTTCAGTTTAAATGTGTCGCTGGCTGAGACACTTTCAATGCCGTTTGAGGCGTCTGGTAAGTATCGCTACGATGCACAATATTGCTGTGCTTGCGTGGGGCATGTAAGCTTGAATGTGAAACACCGTGTGCAAGGCGTGCAAATTAAGGACACGGGCGTGCACTCTTACTTGTCAGGCGTGCACTCCCATCGAACTGGGCGCACCTCAGGCATGCACATGCCACTTTGCAGTATGGACGTACACCAGGCAGTACCAACTGACACTGCCTGGCAGTGGCGGATCCAAGGGGGGGGGGTCACATGGGTCATGGCCCCCCCCTTGAGGCCCGGGGGCCCAAAGACCTGCCAGGGGCACCACCGGCCTATCAGGGGTATCACAGTCCTGACAGGGGCACCACAGGACCGCCAGAGACACCACAGGCCTAGCAGGGACACCACGGGCCTGGTGCCCCTGGGCCCTGACAGGACTGTAACGCCCCTGACAAGCCTGAAGTGTCCCCGGCAGGCACGTGGTGCCCCTGACAGGCCTGAGGCGCCCCTGCAAGGCCGGTGGTGCCCCTGGCAGGCCTGTGGTGTCCATGGCAGGCCTGTGGTGCCCTTGCTAGGCCTCTGGTGCCCCTGACAGGCTTGTAATGCCCCTGGAAGGACTGTGGTGCCCCTGGGCTCTGACAAGCCTGAGGTGCCCCTGACAGGCCAGTGGTGCCCTTGCTAGGCCTGTGGTGCCCCTGGCAGGCCTCTGGTGCCCCTGACAGGCTTGCGGTGCCCTTGGAAGGACTGTGGTGTCCCTGGGCCCTGACAAGCCTGAGGTGCCCCTGACAGGCCCGTGGTGCCCTTGTTAGGCCTGTGGTGCCCCTGGCAGGCCTCTGGTGCCCTTGCTAGGCCGCTGGTGCCCCTGGCAGACCTCTGGTGCCCTTGCTAGGCCGCTGGTACCCCTGCGCCCGGAGAGGACTGGTGACCCTGAAAAGTCTGAAGTGCCCCTCGGCAGGCCCGTGGTGCCCCTGACAGGCCCAAGGTGCCCCTGCGAGGCCGGTGGTGCCCCTGGCAGACCTCCGGTGCCCCTGGCAGGTCTGTGGTGCCCCTGGCAGGTCTGTGGCGCCCCTGGCAGACCTGTGTTGACTGGTGCCCCTGCTAGGTCGCTGGTGCCCCTCACAGACCTGTGGTGCCCCTGGGCCTTGACAAGCCTGAGATGCCTGGCTATGACAGGCTCGTGGTGCCCCTGATAGACCAGTGGTGCCCTTGCTAGGCCTGTAGTGCCCCTGGCAGGCCTCTGGTGCCCCTGCTACCCCTGCGCCCGGAGAGGACTATGGTGCCCCTGAAAAGCCTGAAGTGCCTCTCGACAGGCCCGTGGTGCCCTGGGCCCTGACAGGCCCAAGTTACCCCTGCGAGGTCGGTGGTGCTCCTGGCAGGCCTCTGGTGCCCCTGGCAGGTCTGTGGTGCCCCTGGCAGGCCTGTGTTGACTGGTGCCCCTGCTAGGCCGCTGGTGCCCCCCACATTCCTGCGGTGCCCCTGGAAGGACTGTGGTGCCCCTGCCCCTAGGGGGTGCTCATGGGCCCAACAGGCCCGTTGAGCCCCTGACAGGCCTGTCGTGTATACTTGCTAGACCTGTGGTGCCCCTGCTTCCTGGCAGGCCTGTGGTGCCCCTGGCGGGCCTGTGGCGCCCCTACAAGGCCGTAGGTGCCCCTGACAGATTTGTGGCGTCCCTGGAAGGACTTTGGTGCCCCTGCACGGTTCGTCGGAAGGTCATCTCAGGCTCAAAAGAAACGGTATATACCATTCGAAAGCCGACGGTGAGCTGAATCCAAAAATGTAATTTTTATCAAAATCGATCGATGGCCTTTTTTGAAAATTGCGTTTTTGTAAAAACTTAATAATCTTTTATTTAACGGGCTGTCCCGGACATTCTTGAAAACATAAACAGGTATTTTTTAGTTCCAGTGAAAGCTAAACGCCAAAAGAACAATATTTAGCGAAGCAATATTTCCAAACATTAATATGCGTCTCCCACAGCCGACAATAAGGCGCAATCACACAGCTCAGTGTCACGATAGACCAAAGTCAGCCACACAGAAGCGTGAATTGACCCTTATTGACTCGCAGACCCGGCGCTCTCGGCCCGCCTGACCGGTCACGGAAAGAACGTTCGGCTCTCGTTCTACTAAACAAATGTCATATTTGTCACTTTAACTGTCCACATCGCTATTAAAGTTATTCAGGATACCTGTGAAGAAAATTCATTGTTCTGCTTGATTTACAACATGCTTTAATTTACATTTTTCTTATACATGTTTTGTTCCATCCAGCTGCGATCAGTGCCCGCGCAGGGGAAGTGAGCGGGGTTTCACTGTCAGAGGCTGTACTGGTTACCCTTCCCCGCCGGGCGCGGCTATCCCCACTCCACCCGAGCTGAGGCCGGTGCAACCTCTGACATTTCAGCGCGGCCAATTTTCCTTATATGGGCATGATACCAAGCTCAACTGAGCAAAGTAGACATGAACAAATGCAAATTAATGCATGATGTGAAGATGACAGAACAATGAATTTTCTTCACAGGTATCCTGAATAACTTCAATGGCGATGTGGACAGTTAAACTGACAAATATGACATTTGTTTAGTAGAACGAGAGCCGAACGTCCTTTCCGTGGCCGGTCAGGCGGGCCGAGAACGCCCGGTCTGCGAGTCGATAAGGGACATTTCACGCTTCTGTGTGGCTGACTTTGGTCCATCGTGACACTGAGCTGTGTGATTGCGCCTTATTGTCGGCTGTGGGAGACGCATATTAATGATTTGAAATATTGCTTCGCTAAATATTGTTCTTTTGGCGTTCAGCTTTCACTGGAACTCAAAAATACATGTTTATGTTTTCAAGAATGTCCGGGACAGCCCGTTGAATAAAAGATTATTAAGTTTTTACAAAAACGCAATTTTCAAAAAAGGCCATCGATCGATTTTGATAAAAATTACATTTTTGGATTCAGCTCACCGTCAGCTTTCGAATGGTATATATCGTTTCTTTTGAGCCTGAGATGACCTTCCGACGAACCGTGCCTGACAAGCCTGAAGTGTCAAGGACAGACCCTTTAGACGCCAGGGTCAAGTTCGTCGGACTGACAACGATTTGCTTACCTGATAACGTTCCTGGTAAGTACTCACTATGCGTCCACAACATATAGGTATACACATAGCACATTCATATATAGGTACTTGCTTACAATTGGTAAATGTGGTTGTGGCTAAGAGTTAAGATACTGACTAAAAATAAAAAATAAAAAGAAAAAAACTGAAAATGGGGGCACCACCAAAATGAAGTGGACGAAATCCGTTGAGTTTTTAATTTTGGGTATAGGTAGGGGCACCACTTCGATTCATGACCCTCCCCTTGGAGTTTTCCTGGATCCGCCCCTGCTGCCTGGCCTGACTCACCTCCTCCTCAATGGCCAGCAGTTTGACAATGTTCTTGTGGTTGACCTTCTTGAGGACGTCAAACTCGCGCATCTGCACCTCATGCGGCCGCATGTGGCTGAGTTGGTTGAACGTTTTGACTGCCACTGGTTCACCATTTTGCTGTCAACAGTGATGTACATCTCAACACTGGCTTAGGACTAAATATGAGTAATACCCACCATAAGACCCACTATAACCCTTTCCATGCTTTTACTTGAGTCAAAACTTTTTGTTACCTTCTCTCAAGTGGAGCTAAGCTGTGGTCTGTACTAGTTGAATAAAGCATGCACAATCTGTACATGTTACATGAAGAGCATCAAAATTCATATCACAATCAGTGTGTGCACTGCTGACAGCACAACACCCACCTTGTTGACACCCTGGAACACTGCCCCAGTGGCACCCTTGCCCAGAACACTGGTCGTGCACCACACATAGTTCTGAGAGCCTCGCAGGAACGTCATCCCAGCAGTCTGAAGATGAGCTGAGTGGAGAGCAGCACTTCAGCTGCAGCTGGGTCGGAGGGGCCAGTGGTCTACTCAGCAAGAATCATGCCAGACCTGAAAAATGATGACAAAAGTGCTGAACACAGGCTCAGAGCCTCAGACTAAGAAGTTAATTAAAGGCAATTAGTCAAGGTTGGATCAGCAGACTGCAATAGCATGCAAGGTTCATCTGGACATATTATATTCACAGTTTGACTGCTTTTCGTTTCTTTATAAATTTAGTCTGAACCTTTTGTATGGAAGGAGTGGCAAGGACAGAGCCCCCGCTAAGCAAAGCTTGTTGCATTGGCCATGCGCTCCACCATCTGATCTCGCAATTCCTGTTCTATGGCAGAATTTAGAGTCAAAAGTTTAACATGTGCACATGGCTGCACACGGCCACCCGGCCGGTCCCACTCTCCTCACCGACTTCGCCTGGCTATGGCCTGACGGTCTGTTATGAGCTATAACCGAGAACATTTATTTATTTATTTATTTCACATCATCAGGTATTTCCACACAAAATGGGCTATTCCAATACCCTCGTCATACAATGTAACACCGCACGGTATAAAAAAAACAAGTTATAAAGATAGATAAAAAAACACACACACATCTTCACGAGAACAAAATCGCGGACACTTAAAATAAGCTAACTAGTCACGAAAAAAAAATCACGATGCATCAGCCAACATTTTGCGAATGTGGCGCTTAAAAGAAGTCATGCTAAGGTGGTTCACATGATGATCTATGGCGAATGTGTTATACAATTTGGATGCACGATAGATGAATGTACGTTTTCCATGGTTGTTGCGGGGGCGAGTGGTTGAAATATGATCCGACTGCCGTGTTCTTCGAGAGATTGATTCATGATTAAACAACAGTGCTTCACGCAATCCTATTGGTACGTCCAGCGATAAAATTTTATGAATCATGCACATGTCAAAATAGTCAACTAGCTTTGGAACAGTGAGCCAACCTAAGTCTGAAATGACATCCGAAACATGGTCGTATTTCCGTCGACCGGAAATAACTCGTGCTGCGAAGTTGACTATTTTTTGTAGTTCGGTCAGTACATTTTTGCCACAGCTACCATACACCTGCGCACAGTATCGAATGTGAGAAAGTACAAGAGAATCGACGATACGAGGTAGAACAGAAGCCGGTAGAGTATGTTTAACGTGCGAGATTCCAATGAGAATGCCAAAACATTTGTTAACAACATGTTGCACGTGGCACTCCCATGACAGGTTTGGTTCCATTATCACACCAAGTTCCTCACGCTCTCGGTAGACATCACCACTTCACCCATGAATGACACTTTTGGAACTTAATCTAACTGGACTAATTGCCGTCTGTCACCGAAAACCATCAGTTCCGTTTTACTAGGATTAACCATCGTACCGTTTTGCATAAACCAGTTACTCAAGATACCTAAAACGTCTTCCATAGCACACTGCATATCCCGAATTTTGTGTCTCGACCCGGTTAGTGCTAGCTGAGTATCATCCGCATACCTGATTAAAGTTACTCGGAAACCGTTCACAGAGGACGGAATGTGACATGCGATGTCATTGCTTAGAATATTAAACAATAAACTTCCTAACGTTGAGCCCTGGAAGCATCCCACCGATATCGGTAAGGGTTCTGATAATTCGTCGCCGATCCTTACCCTCTGAGAATGTCCCTCGAGGTAGCTCTTGAACCACCCTGTCCTAATCTGTAAGAGACTCAATTTTTCAAGAATAGTACTATGATCGACCACATCAAAACACCGACTTAAATCTAAAAGAGCTAGCAATGAAATTTCCGAATTGTCCATACCTTTCAAAATTTTGTCAGTCATTCATACGAGTGCCGTTGCCGTGGAATGATTCGCCATAAAGCCATGCTGATCGATGGTGAATAAATGTTGCTGAGTCAGATAACTAGTAACCTGGGTGTGAACTACTTTTTCAATGATCTTACAAATGACACTCACAATGGTTATGGGTCTAAAATTCGCCGCTTCCGAGGGGTCATTTCTTTTGTGCAAGGGTAGCACCTCTGCCTTCTTCCATCCATCTGGTACAGTTTCCGTCACTATGCTTGTATTCACTATGCGCAACAAATATCTGCCTACTACTCCAAAACTTAACTTCAAAATTAAATTTAATTTTTAACTTTAAAACAAATTTAAAACATGTGTTCTCCATGCCACAGGCAGAGTCCACTCCAACGCTCTACCGAATACCGACTGAGCTACGGGACAGGCTATGGATCCGGACTGTTGAATGAGGACTTAGCAGTAGCATCCTCATTTCAAACTCTAATTACTGATGTTAACACTTTGACCTTGCACTCCAACTCTTGCTACTCGGGCTCAAGCTCAAGCTGAAAGCTAATTTCATGCACCGTCCAAGTCGGAAGTTTTTGTTCTGATGATTTACTTATCATTTATGAGCAATAGCCAACAACTTTTAACCTTTGATTGAGCGGATAATAACATCAAAAACAAAAATAAGCAAGAATAATCGATGAAAATTACACACATTTTCCTTGAAGATAAAAAATATACAAAGTATGCGGCATAAGTGACGCATAACAAAAGCAGACACAATACGAGAGCTAAAACACAGACCAAAATTATCTTGCCTTAAAGGGACCCTCCCACCTTCAAAAAAGTTTATGAATTGGCATGAAAGTGATGTCACTCGGTTCAGAAAGAGCGAAAACGAATATCTACCAAATTTCACCGAAAAATATTCACCGGTTTTCAATATATTAGACTTTTACTTTTGTTTACTTTTTGGGATCTCCGCTGTTCCTAGCGACTTTATTTAAAAGTGCGGCATTTGTTGCGCGCAACGCAGCATATACCACCGCGTGCTACAAAACCTTTTAGTCAAACATTTAACGGACGTTCGAAAGCCTGATGACGTCATCAGATTCCCGTAATGGTTAAGAGATAGGGACCACGCTGGTCGCGTATATTCGGATGCAGTATGAGCAGAGCATGGGTCCCGAAAAATTCTTCAGAAACTAGAGAAATTCTCGCGGGGCAGGACGTCTGTCAAACTAGCAGCGAGCAGCGAGCAGCGAGTCCAGTGCAGCGAGAAACGGGAAATCCCGATTTAGCTGAAAATTTGCTCACAGCGCCTTCTCAGCACGCTGATTCCGAAAATTATGGTCTCTAGGGTAGGAATCTTTACCGTTCTCGAGATAGAACCCTCTAAAGCTCTTACCACCCATGACCGGGCCATCCCGATTTGGCTGAAAATTTGCTCACAGATCCTTCTCAGTTCTCAGCACGCTGATTCCGAAAATCATGGTCTCTAGGGTGGGAATCTTAACCGTTCTCGAGATAGAACCCTCTATAGCTCTTACCACCCATGACCGGGCCATCCCGATTTGGCTAAAAATTGGCTCACAGAGCCTTCTCAGCACGCTGATTCCGAAAATCATGGTCTCTAGTGTGGGAATCTTTACCGTTCTCGAGATAGAACCCTCTAAAGTTTTCGGCACCAAAGACCGGGCCATCCCGATTTGACTGAAAATTGGCTCACAGAGCCTTCTCAGCAAGCTGATTCCGAAAATCGTGGTCTCTAGGGTGAGAATCTTTACCGTTCTCGAGATAGAACCCTCTAAATTTCTTACCACCCATGACCGGGCCATCCCGATTTGACTGAAAATTTGCTCACAGATCCTTCTCAGTTCTCAGCACGCTGATTCCGAAAATCATGGTCTCTAGGGTGGGAGTCTTAACCGTTCTCGAGATAGAAACCTCTAAAATTTTCGACACCCATGACCGGGCCATCCTGCAATTTGGCTGAAAATTGGCTCACAGAGCCTTCTCAGCACGCTGATTCCTAAAATCATGGTCTCTAGGGTGGGAATCTTTACCGTTCTCGAGATAGAACCCTCTAAAGCTCTTACCATCCATGACCGGGCCATCCCCATTTGGCTGAAAATTTGCTCACAGAGCCTTCTCAGCACGCTGATTCCGAAAATCATGGTCTAGGGTTAGAATCTTCACCGTTCTCGAGATAGAACGCTCTAAAGTTTTCGACACCAAAGACCGGGCCATCCCGATTTCGCTGAAAATTTGCTCACATAGTCTTCTAAGCACGCTGATTCCGAAAATCATAGTCTCTAGGGTGGGAATCTTTACCCTTCTCGAGATAGAACCCTCTAAAGTTTTCGACACCCATGACCAGGCCATCCTGATTTGATTGAAAATTTTCTCACAGAGCCTTCTCAGCACGCTGCGGCTGATTCCGAAAATCATGGTCTGTCAAATCGACCGGGCCATCCCAGTCAAATCGGGATGGCCCGGTCATGGGTGGTAAGAGCTTTAGAGGGTTCTATCTCGAGAACGGTAAAGATTCCCACCCTAGAGACCATGATTTTCGGAATCAGCGTGCTGAGAAGGCTCTGTGAGCAAATTTTCAGCAAAATCGGGATGGCCTGGTCATGGGTGGTAAGAACTTTAGAGGGTTCTATTTCGAGAACGGTAAAGATTTCCACCCTAGAGACCACGATTTTCGGAATCAGCGTGCTGAGAAGGCTCTGTGAGCCAATTTTCAGCCAAATCGGGATGGCCCGGTCATGGGTAGTAAGAATTTTAGAGGGTTCTATCTCGAGAACGGTAAAGATTCCCACCCTAGAGACCATGATTTTCGGAATCAGCATGCTGAGAAGGCTCTGTGAGTGCATATTCAGCCAAATCGGGATGGCCCGGTCATGGGTGTCGAAAATTTTAGAGGTTTCTATTTTGAGAACAGTTTAGATTCCCACCCTAGAGACCATGATTTTCGGAATCAGCGTGCTGAGAACTGAGAAGGATCTGTGAGCTAATTTTCAGTCAAATTGGGATGGCCCGGTCATGGGTGGTAAGAAATTTAGAGGTTCTATCTCGAGAACGGTAAAGATTCTCACCCTAGAGACCATGATTTTCGGAATCAGCTTGCTGAGAAGGCTCTGTGAGCCAATTTTCAGTCACATCGGGATGGCCCGGTCTTTGGTGCCGAAAACTTTAGAGGGCTCTATCTCGAGAACGGTAAAAATTCCCACCTTAGAGACCATGATTTTCGGAATCAGCGTGCTGAGAAGGCTCTGTGAGCCAATTTTTAGCCAAATCGGGATGGCCCGGTCATGGGTGGTACGAGCTTTAGAGGGTTCTATCTCGAGAACGGTAAAGATTCCCACCCTAGGACCATGATTTTCGGAATCAGCGTGCTGAGAAGGCTCTGTGAGCAAGTTTTCAGCCAAATCGGGATGGCCCGGTCATGGGTGGTAAGAACTATAGAGGGTTCTATCTCGAGAACGGTAAAGATTCCCACTCTAGAGACCATGATTTTCGGAGTCAGCGTGCTGAGAAGGCTCTGTGAGCCAATTTTCAGCCAAATCGGGATGGCCCGGTCATGGGTGTCGAAAACTTTAGAGGGTTCTATCTCGAGAACGGTAAAGATTCCTACCCTAGAGACCATGATTTTCGGAATCAGCGTGCTGAGAAGGCGCTGTGAGCAAATTTTCAGCTAAATCGGGATGGCCCGTTTCTCGCTGCTGGACTCGCTGCTCGCTGCTCGCTGCTAGTTTGACAGACGTCCTGCCCCGCGAGAATTTCTCTAGTTTCTGAAGAATTTTTCGGGACCCATGCTCTGCTCATACTGCATCCGAATATACGCACGCTGGTCCCACCCTGCAAGTAAAGGGAAGAAATTTCTTGAACACCATAAAGCTGCGGGGGTTGCGACCAGGATAAATGGTGGTTTCTGAGCCTGGCCGCAAACTTGGCTATCTCAACTCAAAACTAATGTTAAGGTGGGAGGGTCCCTTTAAAAGACACCACAAGCAAATAAAATGAGTGGTAATCGTTACTTTCAAAGCGTATTGATTCGGTTTGAACAATAAGCCATTGTTTTAATTACTATCTGATATCCAAATAAACATTCTTGTACAGCAAAATGAAGAAGTAAAGGAACAAAATTTCTGACATTATTTGGACCCTTTGCTGTTTCAATAGAATGCCGGTTGAAGCGGTTGATTTTGAGTAAGAAAGTTGAATAATGATTGAAAACTGAAAAGCGTTTTTGAACTGGGAATCAGGTAGGTAACGCTAGGTCAAATAAAAGCCCGAGCGCTGCAGAATAGGGTGGCCCTTATTTTCGAAAGTTTGAAAATCCAGTCTCCAAACCCGGATTCTTGTTCCACTCCATAAGAAAACCACGCGAGTATTTTTTTTTTTAATCGAGTAATATTTACCCGGTGCTCAACGACCTTAAAATTTTACTATTTAAGATCATTTTCACGTTCAACGATACAGGGGCTTTGAACAGCGATCGTCACAGCGGCAAGCGGCACAGGAGGCGAGGAAGCGACGCGCGGAGGAGGAGGCGTCGACGTCCGCGGCAAGAGTCCAGTTGGAGGATTCGTCCTCAATGTCCTCTAGCGACTAGCACCAGCGCCGAAGGAAGCCCCACACGTGGTATCTCCCCAGTCCCACCCAAACGGCCTCGAGCGAACCTCAACATCGTCACCCCGGACGTGGCGGCCTCTTTGGATCGCGTCAAGGTGAGCGACCGTGGCGCAGTGTTCGTCCTCACCGAGACAGCGCGTGCCCTGGGGCACGACACGTCCGTGAAGTTAGCGTCGTATTCCGCGACGGATTCAGCGTCGAGTCCGAATTTCAACTAAACCCAACCTATCCGATGCAGTTTGGGACGCTGATTCCGAATATCGTATTCATTTCAAATTTCAAGGTCATCTTCAAGGTCAAATCACGGATTGAAATTGAGTCCCCGATTTTTCCTACACCGATCGTCCGATCCGATTTCTGAAGGTCACATTCGAAAGCTAGGGTCAGAATCTCGAATTCCCTAATATATACCTTATTAAAAATATTTGACCTTAAAGGTCAAATCACGGATTGAAATTTTGAGTCCCCCTATTTTTTCTACACCGATCGTCCAATCCAATTTCTGATGGTCGCATTCGATAGCTTGGGTAAGAATCTCGAGTTCCCTATTATATACCTTATTAAAAATATTTGACCTTAAAGGTCAAATAACGGATTGAAATTTTGAGTCCCCCTATTTTTTCTACACCGATCGTCCAATCCAATTTCTGATGGTCGCATTCGATAGCTTGGGTAAGAATCTCGAGTTCCCTAATATATACCTTATTAAAAATATTTGACCTTAAAGGTCAAATCACGGATTGAAATTTTGAGTCCCCTATTTTTTCTACACCGATCGTCCGATCCAATTTCTGATGGTCGCATTCGATAGCTAGGGTCAAAATCTCGAGTTCCCTAATATATACCTTATTAAAAATATTTGACCTTAAAGGTCAAATCACGCATTGAAATTTTGAGTCCCCCTATTTTTTCTACACCGATCGTCCGATCCAATTTCTGATGGTCGCATTCGATAGCTAGGGTCAGAATCTCGAGTTCCTTTTTATATACCTTATTAAAAATATTTGACCTTGAAGGTCAAATCACGGATTGAATTTTTGAGTCCCCCAACTTTTTCAACACCGATCGTCCGATCCGATTTCTGAT